GAATTAATAGAATTAATTAATTAATTAAAGTGTTTAATTAATTATTAATTTTATTAGAGCTCAGAATTATAGGTCCATTAGTCCCCGCGTTGTCCTAGTAATTCTACTAGACACAAAGGAGAAAATGAGAATTTTAGAATTACGGAATTCTAAAATTAAACACTTGAAAATAATTAATTGAGAATTAATTATTATTTAAATAATGTGATTATTTAAATTTAAATTTGAACGCATATAGATTTATCCATTTAAACTTATTTGATAAGTTGTTCAATTTAGAATTCAAATTAATTTAAGTTTGACTTAAATTGGAATTTGAATATGAGTCAAAATTGGACTACAGGATAAAGGATGATTTTCTCTTTCTTCCCTATCTGAAATTGGTGTCACACAGGGATGAGAATCCCCTATCTTGGCTGGCCACACTAAGGATAAGAGAATGAGAGATTTTGTTTCAAGTTCAAATAGGAGATAATTAACAAGCTTTATCTTGGAGATAAAGATTGGATTCCTTCTAGAAGTTTGACTTCTACTGTATAAATAAGAGAATAGTAGACAATTTTTGAAACAATTTTTGCCCTAATTAAAAAGGCTGGCCGAAATTTCTCTATAGAGTGAAAGGAAAAAGTTTTCTCCAAAAAATTCCACATCGTGCATGCATTGGTGTTTGTAGAAATTTGAGTGTTTATTGTAACTAGTTTTGTCTCATGTGTGCCCACACACACGTCTTCGTGGATTCTAAGAATTGACGTGGAAGACATTGGTTTTCTAAACACAAAGCTTTGGAGCAAGGATTATTCGAGGTCAAAGAACTCAAGTTATCATCCGAGTCGGCCTCCAGGTATTTTTTCTAATTGAGTTGTTAATAAATGAATTAATGAAATTAATTTATTCGTGCATAAATTAATATAATCTATAGAGTATCTCAAGGTTTTATGAAAATTTTTGTTATACACGATGCTTTCCCCCCACGCTTCCGCATCCGAATTCGATTCGGTGACCAACACTAAATACTTGTTCACTTGCAACTGTGGACACTGGTATGGTTAGTATATCACGTGTCATTCTAGAGAGCACAAGAAAAGTTCTTGACCGTGATCTCTAAAATGACAAAATATCAAACTTATTGAAATCATGACCACTGATCAGTGCATGAAAATGCACCTTAAATACTGCTTTGGATTTATATAGTATTAAAATATTTAAGCTTTAATTAAACAATTTCATTATTTTTATTCAGAATATTTTTAATTAGAATTTGTCTAGTTGTTGCTTAATTATTTGCAGATAAAAAGCAGTGTAAAGAGCTATACAAAAAGATACAATTTTTAGCCAATTTAAGCCACTAAGCCGAGCTTCACAAGCCAAAAAGAGAGAGGAGCCGCATTAGCCAAATAAGCCGCCAAGCCGAGCCAACACGAGTGGACTCCGCCATTCAGACCGCGCCTCCCTTTCGCCCCATCTCGCGCCTCGCGCGTCACATGCACAGGAACTCCTCAGCGCGCGCGTTCTTTCCACGCAACCATCACCGCGCGTCTCAGCTTTCTCCCCAGTGGGTCCCACACCTGCGCTGCCAGCCTGCTCCTTCCCTCTGCGCGCGCCAGCTGTCCGAGCGGGTCCCAGCTGTCTCCAACTGCCAGCTCCCTTCTTCCACTTTGAGCACGACACGTGGCGATTTCACTCTATCCTCCCAATCGTAACGCGACACATGTCCCCTTGGTGCTGAATCCGAAATTCTCCCTAAAAAAATCAGAGCAAATTACCGGATTTCTTTCCCAAATTAAATATATGATTTCTCATAATTTATGTGTATTTTTATTTTGTTTCCTTTTCTTTTGTAATTTTCTAGTTTTACAATATATTTCCTTATTTTACAGACAACCTCTGAACACTATAAATAGAGGAGTTGGCCTAAGATTTTTAGAAGTTTTGAATATTCAGTTTTCTGTCGTTTTGCTGTTAGTCTCATATTTTCTCTCTAGAACTTGTGAGAATGTTTTGCAAGTTAGGCTAGAGTTCTCTTGGTGAGGTTAGAGATGTACTTCTATTGAGCGATCCAATTCAGAGCTTTGATTCCTTGTGCTGTAAAATTCAATATCTTAATGAATTAAATCTCATTTATTTTTCTATTACTTTTCAAAATATTGTGTGTCAATTTTTATATAAGTTCAGTCACGCTTTTCTTATGTAATTATGTCACGCATTGTTTTGTTATTCAAATTATTTTACAAATTGTCTTTTACTACAATATTGTCAAATTGATATATTGTCAATTTTGGATAACTTGTAATAATAATATTTCGGAGTCAACATAGTGATTTAATTTATTCGATTCCTTTATTTTGTGAATTAAAATTTAAATTGGTGAACGAAACATTATAGATTCTCGATACCTTACCATTTTTACTACTAAATTTTCTTCATACAAATTTTCTCTTTTTTATTTTATTTGTAACAAAAATCTCAAAAACTATTCTTTTCCTCTAATTCACTTTTCTTTTAACGCTCCATTACCCTAACACCCAAAAAATCTCCCGAGTCCCCGTCCTTTAGTTGTCGCTCTCACTTGGCATCTCTTTTCACAAAAAAAAAAAAAAAAAAAAAGAGCTCAGCCCTCTTCACCAAACAAACAAACAAACTAACCGACATCCCACCATCCAACCATGGAGGAAGCGCAGCGATCGCTTCTCCTGAGCTCCGCCGTCCGCTTCCCGCCGCTGGAGGGCGCCAGGCTGTCGTACGGCACTGCAGGGTTCAGAACCGACGCGTCGCTCCTCCGATCGACGGTGTTCCGTGCGGGGATCCTGGCCGCGCTCAGGGCTCTCAAGACCCGATCGGTGATTGGCCTCGTGATCACCGCCTCCCACAACAAGGTCTCGGACAATGGCGTCAAGATCGCCGACCCCACTGGCGAGATGCTCTCTCAGGATTGGGAGCCCTTCGCCGATTCCCTCGCCGCTGCGCCGAGTCCCGATCATCTCCTCAAAGGGATTATCGAATTCGCGGAATTCGAGAAAATCGAGTTCGACGGAAGGAAAGTGGAGGTTTTGATTGGGAGAGATACGAGGCCGAGTGGTCAATCTCTGCTTGAGGCTGCTAAACTTGTACGGTTTCTTTTCTTCCTTAATAATAATCTAGCTTCTTGAGGAGGATTTAGAAAATGTGTTGATAATGTTTATGATTCCTGTTTTTTGAAGTGGAAAATTCGAAATTGATTAAGCACTTACCAAGCAAACTATTATAGTTAATCTCTGCTTGAGGCTGCTAAATTTGTGTAGTTTCTTATGGAATGTTTTAAGTCTCATGGAAAAATTACTAAGCAATTACCAAGCAAACTATAAAGAGTTCGTGTGTCTAATATTTTTTATTTTTTAAATTTTATGAACCAAAGTATAGAACAACGTATATTTAATTTCTTCCTTCACAATCTAGCTTTGAACTTAATTATACTGAGTATTAGGAAGCAAATTGTCGTCATTGTATCTGAAAAAAATTATTAAATCTGTAGCTTTTGCAAACGGAAAAGAAAAGAAAACGTTAATGTGCTAAGCCTAAAGTAATTCTTTTTCAATGTATTGATGTTATTCTTAATTATTTGTTGAAGGGAATTGGGTCGATTATTGGAGCTGTTGCTGTTGATGTGGGGATTTTAACCACGCCACAGCTGCATTGGATGGTTCGTGCTAGTAATTGTAGCACGCAAGCTTCGGAATTTGATTACTTTGAACAACTTTCAAGGTCGTTCAGGTTGGTGAGTTAGTTTTTTGCAGAGAGAAAACCTAGGTGTGTGAATATGGAATATGATTAGATTGAAGAGAATTTGTGTGGTTTGGTAGGTGCTTGATGGATTTGATTCTGGGTGGATCTGAAAGCAACGAGGGTAATGACAAGGTGGTTGTTGATGGCGCTAATGGTGTTGGGGGTGAAAAGCTTCTCGTCTTGAAGGAAATGTTGAACTTGAAGGATCTGGAAATTGAGGTTCGGAACTCTGGAAGAGAAGGTGGCGTGCTCAACGAAGGTGTTGGTGCTGATTTTGTGCAGAAAGAGAAGGTTGTTCCATCTGGTTTTGGTCCGCAGGATGTTGGGATAAGGTGAGCCATCTTTGTGTTGATAAATAGTGAAAGCAGTATACAGAAATGTGAACTTTCTTGAATATAGTGTCTAATTGGTTTCTTGTAAGTTGTATGCATCCTTTTTAAGGCGTGAAGTTTTGAACTGGTGCAAGAATAACTAGTTATGTTGCTTGACGTGATAATAGATGATTCTTGGTAGATACTTGATCCATAATTCTTGCCGCTCAAGGTAGTTTGTCTGTTTATTCGTAATCTGGTTTATAGTGGATGAATAATAGCAATGATTCAAGCATTTATTCTTAATGCATTGGGTGTTCATTCTTAATCAACTTCGTTATGCAGTAAATTTTTTATGTCAATCAATGACATATTGTTGATGCAAAATGTTAAACTGAGTGATGGAGTTAACTGCATGAATGGTTCTAGTATTTCAGGTGTGCTAGCTTGGACGGAGATGCTGATCGGCTTGTATATTTCACTGCGCCATCAAGTAGTAGTAAGATAGAACTTGTTGATGGGGACAAGATATTATCTCTATTTGCTGTATTTATCAAGGAAGAGCTAAGTATTCTCAACAAGGAACCAGATGCTAGTACTGGAGATGATTATCAGTGTCGCATTGGGGTTGTTCAGACAGCTTATGCAAATGGAGCATCCACAGATTATCTGAAACGGTTAGGCCTTGAAGTTTTTTTTACTCCAACAGGGGTAAAGTACCTGCATCAGAAAGCTACTCAGTATGATATCGGGATCTATTTTGAAGCAAATGGCCATGGCACCATACTGTTTTCAGAACCTTTTCTACGTTGGTTAGATGCCAAAAATAATGAACTTTCTTCTGTTGCTAAAGGTTATAACTGAAACAATTCTCATCTACTTTAAAAATGCAAGCATGACAATCTAATAGTAATACTCATATTTCATTAAGCATTTGGTATTTCTTGCAGGTTCAGAGCAGCAAAAGGCTGCTTTGAGATTGTTAGCAGTTAGTAAGTTGATCAACCCGGCGGTTGGTGATGCTTTAAGTGGGATGCTCTTAGTGGAGGCTATTTTGCGACACAAGGGATGGTCAATACATAGATGGAGTGAGCTTTATCATGATCTTCCCAGTAAGCAGCTTAAGGTAGTAGCCTTAATTACTATGGATAGATGAATCTCTCTCTCTCTCTCTCTCTCTCTCTCTCTCTCTCTCTCTCTCTCCCCTTTTATGCCATACTTGGGAGGTTAGTGAGCTTTGTTGTCTTTTGGTGCAAAGTATTACTTTTGATGTATGCGTCTCATAGTTTTTATCAGTTCTCCTTGTTGCCCCTCCTCTTATTTACTCTTAAGGTTATGTGTCAGCTGTTTTGGTTAGGTCCGTCATATTTACTGACTCGACTAGATGTTTTATTCATGTAATAGATGGTTGCGTGTACATTGCTCTAGCTGTGTGTATGTGTGTGTTAGTACTGTTATGTATTTTGCCTTTTTGAAGAAAATAAAAGATAATGTTTTTGCTCCTTTTTTTTTTTTTTAATTTTTAATATAATAGACTTTCTGGTGCGCGATATTAAAGGTCTTGAAATCTCTAGTTGTATCATGTACGAGCAAGTATCTTGTGTAGCCTTACTCTGGTACCTTGGTTTTCATTTTTTTCCCCACTCGTGATAGCGTCTACACATTAGTAATGGGGAGCTTCATCTGTCTTAAAGGCATCTTCAGATTTAGAACTATTGTAGCGATCTACTCATCAAACTTTTTCTCAATTTATTCTTTGCTATAATTATCCATTTTTACTTTAGTATATTCTTGAATTCTCCCATTTGTATTTTAGTATATTCTTGAATTCTCCCTTTGTTTTGTTGTAGTTTCTTTTTTACTTCCGCTATTTTGATAACTTATTAGATTAGCCTGTGATTTTCAGCTAGATTTATTTTTCTCACTTGTATAACAATTTTGTTGTCTTTCCATTATGGCTGACCGCCTATGCTTGTTATCAGGTCAAGGTTGTAGATAGAACAGCTGTTGTAACAGCAAATGCAGAAACCGAGGTTGTGAAACCCCCTAGCATTCAAGAAGCCATTAATGCTGAAACTGGTACGTTTGCGGCATATGATACCTGTTGTCTTAAAGGTGAAATAGAAATATTGTTTTATTTTTTACCGGATATTTGAGTTGATGGGCCAGCACCTGAGAAAAAAAAAAAAAAATTCAAGGACAACCATCTTATTGCATAAGAGGATTGGAATAATTAACTTACAAGTTATACCTAGTAAAGATGGTTATCCTGTTTATTATCTTCTGTATGTGCATATAATCATGGGGAGAAAACTTGGATGAGACATTAACGTTAGTTCATTTCTGAGGGATAGGACTATAAGAAGTAACGAATTCTCAAAGCTTTTTCAATTTTTATTGCAGCTAAATATCCTCAAGGCCGATGCTTTATACGACCATCAGGGACAGAAGATGTTATACGTGTTTATGCTGAGGCATCGACGCAAGACGCAGCAGATAGCCTAGCAAACTCAGTGGCGAAGCTGGTGGATAAGTTCTTGGGGCATGGCAGCTCCTAAGGTCCGAACTTCTTTTATCACTAACTGAACTGACTGGTTTATGCAGAGAGAGTCTTCGTTGGACTTGTTGAAATGCCGGATTTAATACTTATTGTTAGTTAGGATGTGTTTGATCGTTCCAAACTATGTTTTACCTAGTTATGAAGTATTTGGATCTTGGACATTTAAGCTAAACTGCTGAATGCCCATTTAAACATGTATGCAGTATAGGCATTAGTGTAAGTGTGGACAGCAGACAGCAGACAGCAGACAGCAGACAGAGAGATAACTGGAAGTTCCAGTTTATGTATTGGTTTCTGGATTGAATATGTTTTATTATAGTTCCAAAGCATTTGAAATAAACCGTCTTTGGCAACATTTTGGGCGTATTAGCTGTAGCTTCATTGTGTGAGTGGTGTGATGCCTTCGAGCATCTCGTGACTGGTTTCCTGGCTATGTAGTGCAAGAAGCTTTCTGTTAGGATCCGTTAATTTGGGAACTTGTTGGTTAGTGGGCTGGTAGAGTTAGTAGGAATTAGTATAAATAAAGGGCTTAGTAGCTTACTAGAGGTATGTTGTGATTTTGAGAGTTTTGGGAGACTGAGATTAGAGAGAGCAATGGTCTCTCGAATACCACCAAATTAAGAGTCCCCGGAGTACTCAAATTCTCCGTTCTATCCTTTACTTTTCCGTTTAGTAGTGTTTGGTAGTGTAATTGGAGATTGGCTAGTGGTTTTCAATAAAAGAATTCCTTTATTTCTATCCAATTCCTTGCCAATTTCAGGATTGATATGTGTATGTTTGGCTGTTTGGCTGTGGAAAACCTAGGTACCTAACACTTTCATGCTTGTGAATTGTGATGTTTTCTTTACTGATCCAAACTATCCCCTCTTTTTCCTGCTTTAAATACGCAATTTATGAAAATTGACTCGTGAGACATGATAGTGACTCACAGATAATAAATATGAAGGCTTATTTGTTGCCAATCTAGAACTCGATTTAGAGTGCTTAAGATTAGGCGCCCACATACCCTTACTGTTATAACATTCAAACATTCAATGGGGCTGGAGTGACGCAGCCTTCACTGAACATTCAGCATTTAGGGGCTCCTTTGGTAACGTTAAAAGAGAGTATGACAACGCTAATTTCGTTCTCCCCCCATAACTTTGATTCGTCAAAAAAATAAGTGCTTATAAAACCGTGTTGCATTCCCCAGGCTTGTAAAACCAAATATGTCAAAACAATCAAGAGCAAATCCATCTTAAGTCGCGATGAACTCTGTAAATTTGACATGAATACTACTCTGTTCTAGGGGTGAAGAAGTTTCACGACACATTATCTGCAACATTATGAGTTTGGCAAATTGATCCTTTTAACTTTTATTTGGAACATTATCTATAGGTACGTCGTATGGACTATTCTGCAAGACTGCAACATTATTTGTAGGTTTTTCTGTACAGACACCCCCTTCAACTTTATGAGTTTGATAAATTGTTCCCTTAACTTTTATGGCAATTCAACCTCTAAATTTTGAAATTCGTTGCAATATTGGTCAAAATGAAAACAAAGTTGAAAATTCAAACGGTTTCTTCCACGTAAACGTTTAATAAGACTAATTTTGATCCCCGTATGGATATCATGAGGAAATTTTTTAAAATTTGGGGATTAACCGTTTTAAAGAAAAATTGGGCGTTCCCTAATTTCAAAATTTTTTTCATTCATGATGTGTATTTGAGACCAGTTCGATACAAAAAGACTAGAATTAGTCTCATTAAACGTTCACGTGGAAGAAATTGTCTAAATTTTTAACTCTGTTATCACAACGAATTTCAAAATTTTGCTTAACATGTAAAGTTGAGGGGGTGTCCATAAAAAAGAGCCTTGTCTGCATGGTCATGGTTAAAATATTATGGCATGCTATGTGCCTATATCTCAAATAATTGCTGTTAAAATGGTGTTGCTAGCTAATAAACCTCTAATTTAGCGTTCACCTATTCGGGTCAAAGTTCTTTCTCAAGTGTTGAGACGCCGGGATCTCTCGAGGGTCGATGGATCAAAATAAGAACACACAATCTAATTGTCAATGAGATTGATGAATAAATCAGTAGAGCACATAATAGAAGAGAATTTTTACTCTTTAGGAATGGCAATGGGGCGGGGTGGGGGCGGAGGATGATTTCCCATCCCCATCTCTGCCTCCTAAACTATCTCCATCCCATCCCCATTCCTGCTTAAGAAGGGGCGGGGTCGGAATAAGAGATTTCTCATTGGGAGAACCTTCTCTATACCCTCCCCGTTCTCCATCACATCGGACTATAAGAATAGAGTAGAAATTCAATATAAATTTAGACCAAAATAAAAGGTTTAATAAAAAATCAAATTCTTAACATATTGCAAACTAAATCCAAAACTAATAACTAACGCATAAGAAAAAAAATTTTAAAACATCAAAACATAAATGTAAATTATCCTCCTTATTCCTGATAGCTTTAATCTTTGTTGCATGGTTGCATGCTATTTCTTCTCAAGCATCATAGATGCAGTTACCCCTTACCCCTTTTCTAAAGTAAAAGTTAATTTTAAGAAATTATGTGTATCTAATATTTATATATAGACATATTGACATAAAAATAACATATTTATATTGGGGTGGAGGCGGGATGGGGAGTACTTCCCCTGGCCCTACCCCGCCACAAATTGGGGACTAAAATTTGTCCCCATCCCCATTCCCGCTAATTGTTCTTCCATCCCCACCTCGTTTCAGGCGGAGCCCCCGTCCCGTGGGGAATATTGCCATCCTTATTCCTCTTTATGTGCTTTCTAAAAGTAACTAGTTGGGGCATCAGCCGGAAGGAAAGTAGCATATAGTATGGTTTCACACTTTCATTTTTCAACAGACAATTTTAAATAGCTATATATCAACACAACTTAAGCAAACTCTAATATCCATTATAATCTGTTAACCAAAAAACTTTAAACTGAATCTCATGTTTTACAATCGAAATCTCACATATATAGTATCATTGATCCAAAAGAATTCGTAACATACAAATAAATCTAAGATGGCATTCAATATTGTCATCTTTCGAACAAGTAAAAATATAAATCAAAATTTTCTGAGAGAGAATATTACCTTCCAAATTAAACAAGAGAAAGATCATTTCTCTTCCTCATCTAACTCTCAGCCGCCGCCGATTTCGAGCTCCGAAAATCTCTCTTCAGTTCGGAAACTCTCGTCATACAAGCCGCCTTCGACTTCCCCGGCACGGCGGCGGCGATCTTCTCCCACCTCATCGGAGCGTCCTTCGGAAATGCCTTCAGAGCGTTCAGCAGAGCAATGTCCTCTCCGGAGCTCCAAATGCTTCCGCCATTGTTATCCGCTCCTTGATTCTCTTCAATAATCCTCTTGTCCACCGGCTTCCTCCTCCTCAGAAACTCCGAATACGAATCGGCGTCGCTCAATTTCCTCTCCCCCAATTCCTTCGCCTTCTTGATCACGCTCTCCACCTTATGCCGTCCCCGCAACGCCTCCACGATCGCCTCCCACCGCCGCGGCTTCCCGACCGGATTCTTCACCAATTGCTTCTTCAGAACCTCGATTTCGTCTTCGGTCCACTCCTTCTCTTCCCACCGTTCCTCTTCCTCTTCATCCTTCTTCGGTCCTCTCGCGGTCACGCTCGCGATCGCTAGGGTTTCCGATTTCGTCGGATCGGCGGGGAATTCATTCGGTCGCCGAGGCTTCGGCCTCTTCTGCGGGTTTCTCTTCCTCGTTTCCTCGTCGGATTGGGGCGAATCGTCGGGGAAGTCGACGATCGGACCTCGGCCGACGCGGATGTCGCCGCCGGTGAGGGAGATCGGGGCGAAGGGGCCAAGTAGGAGGGAGAGGGCGAGCCAGAGGAGGAGGGATTTGGAGGGCTCGGAGTGGAGGAAGAAGAGAGAGAGAATGAGGAGGAGGGAAGAGAGAGAAATGGTGAGGAGGAAGAAGGGTTTGGCGGCGGCGTGGTTATTGGTTTGCGGTGGGTCTGAGGTTGTTGATTGTCGGGACTCGAAGAGAAACCTGGGCCTGGTGTTGTCGTCCAAGAACTCCATTTTTTCCGGCGACGATCTACGGGGCCGGAAAATCGGTTTTATATTCACCGGTTTTGGTTTGGCTTCGTTTTTTGAGGTCTGACTTTGTTTTAAATGATTTGAGTTTTTAATATAAGAGTTTTTTATATAATAAAAAAAATTAAATATGAATATTTTTAAGTTTTGTTTACTTTGATTTAAACTTTCAATTTAAATTAAAATGTGATACCTTTTGAAAGCTTTTAATTAGAAAAAAAATTAAATGTGATAATTTTTTAAAGACTTTTAAGTGTAAATATTTAGAACTGAAAACTCAAATCAGTAAAATGAACGAGACCTTAAGAATTTTTTATTATAACAAAACTCAGTGAATTAGTTGTTAGATTTATAGTATGATTTAAATCATGATTCGTAGTTTATTACAATATTTTTTTATAAAAAATACATATAAATTAAAAATAATTTTAAATTTATGAATAAACATATACTTACTGTTCACTTACTGTTCAGGCGGCGTAAAATTGAAAGTCATTTTTTACTGCAACTCTCTCTGTCTCTCTCTGCAGACCCAGGGATTGGGGAGGGTGGGGAGAGAAGGAAGAGAGAGATGTTCCGCTTTTATGTCGTAATCACGTGGTCATAACTTCAGTCTCATTTATTTTATCGATTTAAATTTTTAATTTTAAATTTTTATAATAAAAAATTTTTAAAAAATGTTACATTTAATTTTTTATGCTATATTAAAAAAATTTTAAAAAAATATCACATTTTAACTCAAATTAAAAATTTGAATATACGGAACAAGTTGAGTTTGAAATTTCTATCTTCGTTTCCGGTTACTGTCGTTGTTAATAGAGGCGGTTAAATTTTATTGTCGTTTCTAATTTTTGTTATCTTTTTCTTTATTTTGTCGTTATTTGAATTGTTATTATCGTTCTCAGGGAGTTATTTATTTATTAAAAGATCACTTTCCTCTCCTATATTTTCTGAAAAAATCAATTTGATACTCTATATGTTTTTAAATATATTAAAAATATGAAAGTTCTTTTATTTTTTTTTTTTCTTAAAAATACAATATTTTTAATAAGCCTTTTTTTTTGTTTTGAGACATTTAGAAATAATTTTGTTATTTCTTTTAGAATTATTAGAATTCTAAAACATTTTTTTTAATTTTATAAGTCTTATTTTTAGTTCTTTAAAAAAATAAAAGTTATTTTTTAGGCGAACTAAAAAGAAGTTCAATTTCTATTCCTCAAATTAGTTTCCATTCCTCAAACTACTAAAAAACAAAAATTATTTTATTGTTCTTTATTTTTTATTGGATCCTTATAATTGTTTCGTAACTTAAGCTTAAAATTGTGTCAAGATTTCAGACGAAAAGAAAATATGATCTTTATCTTAATACCATCTATTAATTTAGGACACCTAATCTTTAGAGATAACTCTTATGCTTACTTTTTTTTGAAACATTTTGTATTCATTTATTATTTATTTTTAAAAAATTGTTTTCATATCCTGTATTTTTTTTAAAGAATCACTTTGATACTCTATTTTTTCATAATATATTAAAACATGAGTCTTAACCATTTAAAAAATATTTTTTTGTACCCTAAAATTATTTATGAGATATGTAGACATCGTTTACTTCGTGGATTTGAATTTTCAATTCGAGTTGAGATGTGATATTTTTTGAGAACTTTTCACTGTAACAAACAAAGTTAGATGTGACATTTTTTGAGAATTTTTTACTGTAAAAACCTAAAATTAATAATTCGAATCGGTAAAATGAACGAGACTATATATATATATATGTATGCATGTGTGTGCATATATATATATATATATTTTTTGAGAACTTTTCACTGTAACAAACAAAGTTAGATGTGACATTTTTTGAGAATTTTTTACTGTAAAAACCTAAAATTAATAATTCGAATCGGTAAAATGAACGAGACTATATATATATATATGTATGCATGTGTGTGCATATATATATATAT